GCTTTGCAGGCAAGCAAAGCAGGAGTGGTTTGAAGCTGGCTCAGTCACTACCTGCAAATGCAATTCGTGGAGGGCAATCCAGAACCACCAGCGTAAGGCAGTACAGAGGCAGCAGCAGGAAGCAAACCAGACACCGACAACGACAGTAGTTACAGCAACTGCAGCCGGACCACGAGCAGAAGCAGTAGCCACAACAACAACAGCGAAAGCGACGACAACGACAAAAAGAACACCAACAACAAAAGCAACGGAAACGACGACAACAAACAACAACAACAACAACAATGACAACAACAACAACAACAGCTACAGGACCGATAATATTGACAACACAACAAACAATAACAACAACAAGAACTACAGTAACAACAACAACGGCAACGACTCGGACAACGACAGCAGCAGCGGCAGCAACAGCGATAGCAACGGCAACAGCAACACCAACAGGAGCAACAGCGGCCGCAGCAGCAACAGCAAAAAACCCCACAAGCCGAAAAACAATGATGGTTACGTTTAGCTCACTATCATTTTCTCTTCTGTCGCCTGCGCAACATTTTCTAACCGTGACAACCTCTATCATCCATCCCTGCCTCTATACGCAAAATAACGTTCACTTCTTATACTCTCTGCATCTCTGCTACCTCCTGAACGCTGCGCTCCAGATGCAATCCATCGCGTTGCGCCTCAGGCGTTTTATCAACCAAAGAATACGTCCTCAACAAAAAAAGCAATATTATTTTGTTTCGGTAATTGGATTAAGCCAAATTTTCAGTAGCAGAATAAAAAAATAAAAATGAGAAGGCGCTGCTTCTGTTTCTTTTGTCGACCTTCGCGTTTTGAGAGAAAGTTCTTAAAAAAGCTTGCGCAAACTTCAAATTATGGTATGGTTACGGGCTGACTGGTCAGCTTTTCCTGTATCATTAATTGTTATTAAATTTATTTCTGTTTATAATATACGTTTGCTTCCTATCTTGTACCCTTGTCGTTTTTTTTTTTCTTGCTCTTTAAAGGTCAGCAGTAAAAAAATCAAAGTTTTAATGTGCTCATTTTTTTTTTTTAGATGTTTAGATTGTTATAATCTTTCGAAAGAAATTTGGAAACAATTTCTCCTTTTTCCTTCTCTCCTTCTCTCCTTTTCTTTTTGTCTCCTATTTTTTTTTTTTTTTTTTTGAAATTGAGACAGAGTGGAAGGGAAAAATAACGGTAAACTGGTAGAGAAGTAGCATATATTGAGAAAAAAACGACGGATCTTATCTTGTCAAACAAGTCTGCAGCATCAGTTCCACGTTTTCCCAGTGTATTTTCTACAGACCGAAAGTCAAAGTAATAAGAGACAAGTGGAAAGTAAAAATTTTGCCTCATTTTTACTGGTTTTTCTGCGTTCAGCTCAGTCTTATCGTTGATGGTGGTGATAGTGATGTTGCTGTCACCATCTATTTCTTGGCTTCCTCTTTCCCAGTACAGATATTTTTGACGGAAGGTACTACACGCTTGTTTGTTGACATGTCTCTGTCACTGTTGCCGCTAGATTTTGCTGACTGCTTACCAAGTGCGTACTTGAGTTATCACTGTCCAACCGTGTTGTGTTTGATGACGCTGCTGCCGCTATGACTGCTCGTTTGCAACCAAAGTGGCTGCAAACTTCCACTGCTATACATCCCGTACCACTTTGGCTTCTGCTGGAACGAGAATGTGTCGACAAAATTATCAGTCTCCGTTTTGCACAGAATTTGCAACAGCGTTTTAGCAGCAAAAATTTTTTTGCTCTGCGATGTGGGGGAAGGGGACGGGAAGCTGCAAAAACTGTTCAGGCCATTATTGCTTTTTTTTGGCTAAACTTTTTTTCTTCTCCAGAATTTTTTACTTATCTTTTTTTGCTACCATGATTCAATAGTTTCTATTCAGTTTAACTGAGCTTTTTTTATTCTTGATTTTTATTCCTTAAAGCGAAGAATTCCAAGTTGCCTGCAAAACAATTCTTAAACAGAAGAAAAAAAAAAGCCATGAATATGGAAAATAATTAAATGATAAAGCAGCAATTTGGTTTTCTTCTGTAACACATTTTTCCGTTGTGAAAGAAGAAGAGAAGCGCAATTATTTCAGAATGTTTCCTTTATTACTTTGTCTGTATTAAAGTTACCATTGATATATCATTGCTGTTACTCTTCCTATATTAACAATATATTAACTCAGAAGTTTGTGTTACTGACATATTTAGCACTTTAAATTCAAAGTATATCAGTAGCAAAACAGTAGTGGCTTCATTACGGTTTTGATTCCGTGATTTCTTGCTCCTTCGACGTCAACTTGTTTCTTGGCTGGTATTTTCGCTTATTTATTACGCAACAACGATGTTATCCTTAAAGTAATCTTTTTCAGAGTGGCTGAGCGTCTTAGCTTTAAAGGAACAGAAGTTTTATTGCAGTTCTTGTCTTAGCTTGCTGAAGGACCACAAAGCAGCCAAAGTAAATGGTCTTTAACGCAGTTTTCTTGTGCATTACTATTTATCATCGATTATTGACTTCGTTCTAGATTTTTTTTACTTACCTGTGAAAAAAAGTTATTTACACTCGTTTGTTTAGGCGGGGTAAATACTTAGTTTCCGCACAAGATGTATTCATTGTTTTTTGGTTTGTGCTTTAAAAAGAAAGGTCGAAAAACTCTCTCGCTATTTAATTTTTGAGGATTAACAATAATGAAAAATTAGTTAGGTTTTTTTCTGATGTAAAAATGAATTAGACCAAAGTGCTGGTAAATTAATTTTTGTTACTTATTATGTTATTTTGAGCCGAAAGCTGCAGTCTTGTTCTAAATAACATTCTCTAGGTAAAGACTTGTATTCAAAAAAACAAAGTTTGATATTTAGAAATTCTTAATAAACTCTGTAGGATAAACTGAGTGGAGTTTTATTTAAAGCTCACATTTATTTTTTACATTGGTTCTATATCGCTGGCTTGGCCAATTCTGGATTATCTGTTTTGCTTACGTTTTTGGAACAGATTATTGACATTTCTTCGCTAATCCTTTTTGGTAATTATGATAATCACTGTTGAAGTTCTGTTCCATAAATAACGGAAACTATGGTATTACCTTGGAAAGCAGTCATGTGGATCTCCTTGACTACGTAGGCAAGGCACCTGTATACTAATGCTTCAAATTCTGAAGCAATCTGTCTTGATTGCCATTTTTTAATCTGCTATTCTCCCTCTCTCCGTCGCCTGTTTTCTTTCAAAATATGGCACTACCAAAAGTTTCTTATAACGTAGTGGAAGTTCGAAGCTGCAGATAAAACAGGATAAAGCTTTTTATAACTATATTTTAGCTTAGTATTTAGCTGTGGAGCGGACGTGTTTTTGATGCGTAACGAAGATAATTAGTTATAAATGAATATAATAAATGTCTGCTTTTTGATCTCTTCTTTCTCATCTTTTAATTTCAATAATCTCCACAGCATAGGGTAGTATTTAAAAGACACATATGTATGTATGTGTGTGTTAAAACAGATCAAAAAAAAAATTTTTTATGAATTTGGAAACGCTATTTGGCTTGACTCTAAGCTAACTTAGTGCTTAAACTGATGCTTTTGTTAGGCTTATAATTTTTTCATTAAAAGTTTCATGGAATTTGAAAAAGTTGGTTTATGACGTAAAGGAAGGAGGAAAAACACGAAAGACTAAAAAAGCAGTAATTAGCTAAAATAGGTTGGAATGGTGAGGGAAAAAATGCCATTAATTTCTATTTATAGTTGATTATACAAGCGAAGAAATGGTCAAATGTATGAATTTTCAATGTTGTTTTTACAGAATGTAAAGAAATTTTTCTTCTGTTTATCTGCGAATTGTGTTTTAATTTTACTAAACATTATTATTACAGAAAAAAAAAAAAGAAGAACAAAATAAAAAGTTTTTTTGAAAAGAGAAGCAGTTGCTTTGAGGGCGAGAACGTAAAACTACTTGCAAAAATTCTTTTATTGACGAACCTTATTTTGGAGGAAAGTTGTAGTTTGAATAGCATGTTCATGTTTAGAGCAAAGGAAAAAGAATTATTATACAGAAGGGAGTTTTTTTGGATTTATTTTCTTCTAAAAGACGAGAATCATTATTGATTTGCATCATCGTTTTTCGCAAAAGACAAAGTCTTTGAATTGCCCTAATTTGGCACGGACAGGAAGCCTAATTGGAGCCATCAGTGTTTACTGCAAGAGTACCACAAGTTTTAAGGTGTCTATTTGCCGTAGTTTTGTTCCTATGTCTTGAACAGCCGTTATGTGGCTGTAAATTTTGTGCAAGGCGAAAGAACCGGAAGTGGAGAACTAGCAGGGGTACCAAGGAAGAGTATAATAAAAGTTGTTCTGCTGTGATTTATTTTTACTGAAGTAGAATAACGAAAATATGATAAGG